CAAACAAGGATATGTCATCCTCCTAACTCTAATCAGACCTTCTGCATCTTAGAGTCAGCCTACCTTAACACCAATTAGTAGAAATAGTTATAAGTACTTTTGTACAATGATAGGTATTAAAAATGAAAATGGCTTTTGATAGAAAAATAATTTTTATTACAGTTCACAGCTTACAAAATATTTTAGTGTTTATGCAATTTACTGTAATAAGTCTAGAATCCATTCTTCATTTGCAAACTAATGTTTTGCATTAAGATAACTAGAACAAAACAAGGCAATTAAATAAAGATGTCAATTTTCAAATCCCTCAGCTTAAATTTAAAAAGGTAAGGAACCCATCCATCAATAATTGGAATTGAATAATTTTGAAAGAAACTTTTAATTTAGCTTTCACATTAGGTTCACGGATTTGCCATTACCTGTATGTGGAAAGAGATGTCAAGTTCACAAATAAAAATATGAATACTATGATTAAATTTTTGATTATGGAGTGAAGCTAAAACATGAAAACACAGTGTTATAATCAAAATCATATTGTAATGCATTTTAATACATTTCATTTAAAGAAGTAGCTGAAAAGCAGAGATGTTAATAATTTACCAAGAAAATACAAATATAAATCAATTGACAAACTTCTCTGGGTTACTTAATGTCAGATACTCTGCTAGTTGTTGGGAATTCAAATACGGAAGAGTAAAGGTTCTGGCTTTGTGGAACTTACATATAATGTGGTGGGAAAAAATATTGCATAAAGCTTTAAAAACAATACACCTGATAGTACCACACAGGCTATCAGTTTCCTGTGAGTGGGGTTGCTGGACAACTTTTAGGTGGAAAGAAAGAGCAGGCAAAGTGGAGAAAGCGTGAAGTTGAGCTGCAGGGGTGTGTGGAAGGAAGCAGGCGTCATGGAGGAGGATGGGGTTAAGTTGACACGGGAAAGCATCACCACCAACACAGCTTTGAAACTTCAACGTGAAAGTATTTGAATACTTTCTTCACTGTATTCATACAGTGAAGGTAATTGTTACCTTATTTATTTATTTGTTTATTTATAAATGGCTCTGTTGCCCAGGCTGGAGTGCAGTGGCATGATCTTGGTTCACTGCAACCTCTACCTCCTGGGCTCAAGCAATCCTCCCATCTCAGCCTCCTGAGTAGCTGGGACTGCAGGTGCTTGCTACTACATCCAGCTAATTTTTGTATTTTTTGTAGAGACTGGATTTTGCCATGTTTTCCAGGCTGGATTCTTAACTCCTGAGCTCAAGCAATCCACCCGCCTCAGCCCTCCAAAACGCTGGGATTACAGGCATAAGCCACGTCATCTGGCAATTTATCATTTCTTTGTACTGAGAACACTAAAAATTCTCTCTTCTAGCTATTTGAAAATATACAATAAATTATTAACTGTAGTCATTCTACAATGCTACAGAACATTAGAGTTTATTCCTCCTCTCCAGCTATAATTTTATATCTTAACCAACCTCTCTCTCTCCTCCCCCACTACCTGTCCCAGCCCCTAATAACCGCAGTTCTACTCTCTACTTCTGTAGGATCAGCTTTTTTAGCTGATATGAGTGAGATCCTGTGGTGTTTCTAGAATTCCCTCTTTGTCTTTCACTTTTGACAGTTTGACTGTAATGTGCCTCAGAAAGGACTTTTTAAGATTAAATCTATTTGGGTGCCTTGAGCTTACTGAATCTGAATGTCCATATCACTATGGACCCTATGGAACTAGCATAGTTTTCAATTATTTCATTAAATGATTTTATTTCTTGTCCCATCTCTTTTCCTTCTGGAACTCTTATAATGCAAAAACTTTTTTACTTAATGGTGTCCCATGTGTGTCACATAGGCTTGTTTCATTCTTTTTAATTCTTTTTTCTTTATTTTTCTCTGATTTCTGTATTTTCATATGCCTGTCTTCAAGTTCAGAAATTATTTATTTATTTATTTATTTTGAGACAGAGTCTCTCTCTGTTGCCCAGGCAGGAGTGCAGTGGTGTGATCTTTGCCCCCCGCCAGGTTCACACCATTCTCCTGCCTCAGCCTCCAGAGTAGCTGGGACTACTGGTGCCCGCCACCATGCCTGGCTAATTTTTTGTATTTTTAGGAGAGATGGGGTTTCACCGTGTTAACCAGGATGGTCTCAATCTCCTGACCTCGTGATCCTCCCACCTCGGTCTCCCAAAGTGCTGGGATTACAGGCGTGAGCCACCACGCCCCGCCTCAGAAATTATTTTTTATATTTTGATCTACTCTATTGTTGAAGCTCTCAACTGCATCTGTTCTTTTATTCATTGAATTATTCAGTCCCAAAATTTCTGGGCTTTTTGATGATATTGACTTCTGTTGAATTTCTTATTCAGATTATAAATTGTTTTCCTGATTTTATTTCCTGAATTTGTTTTCCTGAATTGTCTATCTTTGCTTTCCTGCATCTCACTGAGTTCCCTTAAGATCATTATTTTGAATTATTGTTCAGGCATTTCATAGCTTTCCTTTACTTTGTGGTCTGTTACTGGATAATTATTGTTCTTCTGAGGATGTCATGTTTCTTTGCTTTTCCATGTTTCCTGCATCCCTATGTTGATTTCTGTGCATCTGATGGAAGAGTTGCTTCTTCCAATCTTAAGAAGTATCTTTCGTATGGAAAGACATTTTCCTGTAGATGTATCCTTAGGTGTCAGTTGATTAGGGTGCTTTGGCTTTGGTTCTGGGTGGACACAGTCATGTACTCTTTGTATGATTTATTTTGATGTAATCAACATCGGCAGTGTCTGTGAGCATCTCCGTGGCCTAAGTTGTGGTTGTTTTTGGAGGCTATGGCATGGCTTTGCTGGGGATAGGAATGCAAGGCAGGCTGGTCTTTGAGCCCTTGGGCATCACGTATGGATGCATGATGGCTCCACCACTAGAAGGGACAGAGTCACTGGTAGGGGTGGTGGCAGGCCACAGGCAGCCAGTGCTTGGGTCCTTCCATGGTGCGAGCGAGCACATGGCAGTCTTGCCACTGGAGGGGCAAGGGCACCAGCAGGGGTAGCACAAGCCCTGAGCAGGTGGCTCCCAGGCCATGGGGAGCATACATGGTGGCTCCCTCTGCTGTGCTTAACCACCTGTTCCTTGAGATGTAGAGCAATGTGTGGGCTTGGGTGCCGCGGTCACAGCTGCGGTGCTAGATCCAGCTGGTGTGGTGACATTGCAGGCCTTCGGGTAGATGTTGGAAGGTTATCACCTGGGCCCCAGGGATAAGGAGATGCAGGAACTATTGGTTCCATGGTGATATGGTTTGGCTGAGTCCCCACCATACAAATCTCACCTTGAATTGTGATAATCCCCACATGTTAAGGGCGGAGCCAGGCGGAGATAATTGAATCATGGGGGCAGTTTTCCCATACTGTTCTCGTGGTAGTGTTATGGAATCTTTGGGGTGTTGCTTTTTCTGGCCAGAAACCTCTGTGGCTGGTGGCATCTTTGCCCAAGTTCTTGTCCTGTGTCCAGGAAGAATGAGGTATACAGAAAAGGGGAGGGTGAGCAAGAGGAAGAGAAGCTTTATTGAATATTAAAACAGCTCGGAAGAGACCCACAGGGGGTAGTTCCTCTCTGTAGGCACGTTATCTCACTGAGTGTTCCATTCTCAGCAGAGAGGTGACCCTGGAATGGGTCTCTGCAGGCAAGTGGTCCCATCATCTCTGCATCTCTCAGCAGAAAGAAGGGTATATACTCAGTAATGGTATTGCTGGGTCAAATGATATTTCTGGTTCTAGGTCTTTGAGGAATTGCCACACTGTCTTCCACCGTGGTTGAACTAATTTATATTCCCATCAACAGTGTGAAAGCGTTCCTATTTGTCTGCAGCCTCGCTAGCATCTGTTGTTTCTTGACTTTTTATAACAGCCATTCTGACTGGCGTGAGATGGTATTTCATTGGTTTTGATTTGCATCTCTCTAATGATCTATGATGTTGAGCTTTTTTTCATATGTTTTTTTGCCACATAAATGTCTTCTTTTGAGAAATGTCTGCTCATGTCCTTTGCCCACTTTTTAATGGGATTTTTTTTCTTGTAAATTTAAAACAGAAATTTTTACAGGTGACAAAACAAAGAACCTGGAATGTTTGTTACCTGTCCAAAGGTAAACTGTGGACCTTGGCTCAAATTCCAGAGGTCCTGTATTTTGCAGTTCTCTCTCTTAGAAGTGCTGCTGTTGTCCATGAAGTAGTGCAAATTAGGAAAAGAAGACACTTTGGGCTAAACAATTAAAAAGGTTTTTACCTGTGACATAGAGAACAGGCTTGCTGAGCAAAAAGCAGGCTGACTTTGGACCTCAAGGCCCCATCCTCCCACATCCTGCAGGAAATCATCTGTGGCAAGCCAGGAGCTCCCCCTTTCTCTGTCTCTGTCCCTCTCTTTCACTCCCCACCCCTGCATTCTTCCCTCTCTTATCCCACTCTCTCCTTTACTGGCCTAGACTCCTTTTCCTATGAGTCTTACATGTTCCAAGGAGGCTGTGTGGGCGGTCTGGCTTTCAGAAGGCGATATATTGTTGCGCTACTATCCCTATGAGATTTTGCTTCGCTGGGGCTCAAGGAGATTAAAGACCCCCAAGGCCCACTCAGCATCACCCTGCTGCAGTCCTCTCCTCGTTGGTGAAGTGTTCGCGCCCACTTTGGGGGCCCATCTGCACCTGCTGTGCTCCCTGCCTCCCGGCTGCTGCTGCTTGGAACGTTCAAGCACAAGGTTGAAAGCACAGCCTGTTACGGAGCCGTCTTCACAGACGCGATAACGTGAACATTTCACATGTCTGAGAGATATCTTCAGTATTCTGTCCAAATTTTTGAAATAATGGAATTTGGGAGATATTTTATCTTAGACTCTTAGCATTCCTAGGCTGATCCACTGCCTGGTGAACTCGTGGTTTCCCCGTTGCCTCGGTTACAGTAAAAATAGCAATGATTCTGGGCACTTGGCTGGGCTTCTTCCAAATCCGCTGAGCCGCGCCTGGGCCCCCGGCCTGCCCCACTGCGAGTCCCAGCTCGGTCCTGGGGCCTGGCCACGCCCGCTGCCGGCCAGCGACCCAGTCGGACCCAATCCAAGTCCCTCCGTTCTTGCCACCCACCACGTAGGCTGATCCTGGCGTGCGCTGCGTGTTCTTTCCTCTTATGTTCTATTCCTTTCTGTTAATAAGAATATGACCTCAGGTAGAGAAAATTAAACAGTCAAGTTTCCAAACAAGATGAGGTGACTTTAAGAATTCAAAGGATGTGATGCACCTGCCTGGGGGAGGTGGGGGGACGTCCCCGCTGCTCCCCCTCCCCGGAAATGCCTGCGTCCAGCGGTGACCTCGGGAACCTGGGGCTGAGTGAGTGGGGGTTCAGAGCCTGCTCGCCCCAGCGTCCTCCAGGCGGTTGGCAGCGCAGCCAGAAGGTGAGGCGGGGCGGGGACGGCACCGGGCAGGAGGTGAGGGCGGGGACCCCGGACGCTAGGTGAGGGCGGTCGCTGCACCCGGGGAGCGGCGAGGGAGGCGGGCCCGGGCGGGAGTGAGGAGGCGGGGACGGGCGGGGACGGGCGGGGATGCGGGGACGCGGCCATGGCGGGGGCACTGGGCGGGGGCGCGGGCGGTGCCAGTCGAGGTGGCGATGAGGTCGGGCGGGGCGGGAACTGGGGAGATTCGCCAATCGGTGCGGACTTCGGTTCTCCCCAACGCCAGGCCTGGGCAGCTGGGCACTGGGGCGCCGTTCGCCACCCGGCGCGGACTTCGGAACCGGCCCGAGGACTGACTGGCTCTGCCACTCCAGCGCGTCTCCGCTGCACCCGGAGCGCCGGCCGGTCCATTCCCCGCGAGGATGCGCGCCCTGGCGGCCCTGAACACGTCGGCGAGAGAGCGGCTCCTTCCCCGGGACCCCGCGGCTCCCCGGGACCCCGACGCCGCGCGGCCGGCGCGCAGGAGCGCAGTGGAGAGGCTGGCGGCGGATCGCGCCAAGTACGTGCGGGGACGGCCGGGGACTGGCCGGGGCGTCGCTTCCGAGGGCAGCGGCCCCGGGGCGATCAAGTGCCCGGGGAACGACCCTGGGCCCCCGGCCCGCGCCCCCGCCCCGGTGGCGCGCAGGGCTATTGCGCGGAAGCCGTTGAGGCCCGACTCGCTGATCATTTACCGGCAGAAATGCGAGTTCATGAGGGGAGCGGGCGCCGACGGCCCCAGGGCGAGCCTGGTGAAGAAGCTCTTCCAGGGGCCGGGGAAGGACAAGGTGCCGGTGCCCCGGACGGGAGACGAGGGCAAGACCGGGAACCCGGAGACCGTCCCGACCAAGCCTGGCGCTGCAGCGGACCTCGCGCCCCCCGAGACCCCAGCCCCAGCCGCGCGCTCCGCGGCGCCCTCCAGTGTCCCGGCCGCGCCCCCTGGCCCGGAGCCGCGGGTGCTGAGGCGTCGGGGGCTGCAGCGCTCACAGTCGGACCTCAGCTCCCGCTACTCCGCTGCCTTGGCCGAGTCTGACACCTTCTTTCAGTACTGCGGCCTGGACCCCGAGGTGGTGGAGGCCCTGGGGAGGGAGAACTTCACCGCGGGGTCGGACCGTGTGACCCTCAAGGTGCGCAGCGTGAGCGTCGCCACCTCCGGCAGCGGCTTCTCCCGGCACAGCGGCGACGACGACGGGCTGCAGGAGGAGGAGCTGATTGAGCAGGTGCCCAGCACCACTTCGGTCATCGAGAGGAACGCCCGCATCATCAAGTGGCTGTACACCTGTAAGAAGGCCAAGGAGACCCCCAGCCAGGAGCAGAGCAGGACCCGAGGTGTGTGCTCGGAAGGCTGGGGCGGGGCTGGCCGTGTGCGGGGCTGGGAGTCCTGGTGAGTGTGGCCGAGCTGGGCGATGGCCAGTTACAGCTGATGCTTAGAACTGAGTGCGATTTTGAGCTACAGTGTGAAAGGGACCCAAGAGGCAGACGCAGAGGCTTGTGAGCTGAGCCCGCGCTGCTGAAGAGCAGAAGGTACCAATCCAGGTACCTGCAGGTCCAGGCCCTTAGGAGACTGCTGCGTCTGGCTGCCTGGAAAGGCAATTCTGCAAATTAACATGTCCCATTTGACTTATTATTGTGAAAACAGGAGGAATCCAAAGTGCTGCCAGAAAGCAGTTTTACACCCCTAGTATTCTTTCCTGCGCTGAAAACAGCGTGAGAGCCCTAGTTCCTGAGTTCATTGACCTGTGCTGTGGGCGGTCCTGATGTTTGATTGGAGCTGACCGGTCCACCTGCAGCCCTAGGTAGGCGCTGCTGTGTTACCTGGAACAGAAAGGAAGGCTCCCTGCACTTTCCTGGAGGCCTGTGCTGAAGTGGTAAGAACTTCTCTACAGGATCTTGTCAGCACTTTGGCATTCACTTAGCAACAAAGATCTTTATTTGGCTAAATTTTATTTAAATTGTTTTGAGAGCTTCAGTTTTTTAAACTGGGGAAATTGGACTAGATTGTAACTAGAGTCGATAGTTTATTTCCCCCGATGATACTACAGGAAGTAACTTCCCTTTGGACAACCAGTAGTGCAGGATTGACCTCGAGCTCTTTTTGCTTTTCACTGGGGAACTAAGGAGTGCTGGTCCTCACTGTTACCCTGCCCTTCCCTATGGGCACCTTGGAAAGTAGTGAAGAGAAAGTACCTTTTCAGGGCTGTCTTTGAGAACCAAGAATTTAAACATTGCAACATCTTTTTTTTTTTCTCTTACCCTTCAATGACAACTTGCTATAAGTAAATTTTAAAAATCATGAGATGAAGTTATTGTCTGCCATTGTGATAAACTAACTGAAGATGCATGGCAGCCTGTAGAGTTTGGGGGAGGCTGCCCAAGAGATGTTTGCACAGGGCTCACCTATGCTCGACAGCTAAAAAAATCTCCAATAACTTCTCTGGCTATGACTTTAGTATAGACATGAAAATTAATGAGAAGAAGTTAATTTATTCTTTTTCTTGAACTCAGAAGGCTCAGGACTTAAGTTCTTCCTTATAATTTATAGAAGATTTGTGTTTTCCACTAGCCTAAGTCCCCAACAAATATATGTAGGCAAAGTTCTAAAAAGCAAACAAACATTAATTGGTAGTTTTCACAGATTGTCTTTTAGATCTGAGATGAATGAATGCTGGCAAGGGTATTTCCATGATGGCACCATATTTAGGGCAGGAGCTTTGGAGAGTGGCCATGGTGGAGGGACACTGTCTGGTGGAGAGAGCACTAAACAAGAATTAAGGGCCTGTCTTATGTTAGCAAGTGATTCCTGCACTATAGACCAGGCTTCCTTTGTCCATAAAAAGAAAGGAAATAGGCAGATGGTTTTCAACCTCTACATTTTCTAGTCTGTGTAGTAATAACCTGTGTTGCAAGATTGAAACCCAGAAATGGAAAACAAACAAACAGAAAGTTGTCCATTGAAATACGTGAGAAGTAAATTTATGAATAAGCTCCCTCCAGGTAGCCAGAGCATGTGCAGGCAGTAGGTAGACTTGGTGGTATAAATAGTGGTGAGCTAATAATATGGCATAAAAATGAAACCGAAATAAAACCTGACAACATAAAAATAAAAGCAGCCTGCTCTGATCCCTCCAGACCCATGCTGGTTCCCATCTCGAATTAGCCAATGTCAAAATAGTGACCTGAATGAGAATTTCATTGACTTCATAGACTATATCCTAAAGACCTTTTAGGCTTGAACCTATGACAAATATAAGAAGTTTAGTTAGCCTGTGAGAGCTTTCACTTTTGTGACAAGGAGACATAGTTGAAGGAAGAGGGAAAGGGAGAGCAGGTTTGGGAAGGCACTAAGGATGGAGGCAGGAAAAAGGCCCATGGGCTTCTTCCTCCCCTCATGTCTCCCTCCACCTGAATCCCATTTGTTCCAGGCTGGAGACAACAGCAACTGTCTTCTGAGAAGTTTCACATTATTTCTCAGAGTAGGGGGGACAGTCACACAGAAGCTGCCCTAGTTTTTATATGGAATTGGAGTCACCAGCACTATAAAGATTTTCTTTACTAATGTACTTCCCTAGACCCAAGACAGTGTTGTATCTTTGAAACTGCAACGCAAAGACTTACTGCCTGGCTACCGGGGTTGAGGGTATGAGGAGAACACAGTTGCCTGAGCTTTCTCCAGATCACTGGAACAGTGTCTGCTCATGACCTCAGCCCCTTCACAGCTCCCCGCCTCCCAGCACTGGTGTTCCCACTGGAGGAGACCAGCAGGGAAAGCCAGGACAGAGTGTGAACACCTGGCCAGTGGGGCGGTCTTCTGACTTCCCGCAGAAGTCTCTTGTTCTGAGACCAGTTCTGCAACTTCTGGAAGATGTGGAAGCAGGAATATAAGCTGTGCTTTTTCTGCTGAAAGTTATAAGGATTCCTTTTAGGATTTCATGAAAGATTCAGAAAACTTGAGATGAAATAAGGCAGGTTTTCTAAGTGAAAGAGAAAACAGATATGTTTAATCTAGAGGTTTTTGTTCCCTTGGTAGATAGAGATTTATAAATTATAATAAAAGTGTCTCAATTATAATAGAACTAAAAAAGTTTATAAGTTTCTTGCCCTGTGGGGTAAAGATAATTGCTTTTCAAAACTGAGACTATCAGAACTGGGCAATGACTCGTATAATCTGCACACAAGTCCTCTGGGAACCCATGAGTAGTAGTTGGTTGTATGTGAGTCATTTTGGTATTCTGTTTCCCAGAGCTTAGTTTATGAAAATATCTATTTTATCTGCTGTGATTTAGTCATCTTCCTGTCTTTCAATTTATCAAACTGGGGACTTGCCAAAATTTAGATCTTTCTGGTTTTCTGTTTTGCATAGAATATATAAGTTGCTGCTTTTAATACTGGCATAAATAACTTGTTCTTTGGGAAATTAGGGATAAGACATTGCTTAATTTCAAGGCAAAAATGTTCAGACAATTCCACAGCTATCTTCACATTTATCCTTGATGCAAAGAAGAAAGAGGTACCTGTAGAAGCCCACTGAAAGCTCCTGAAACAGAGTTGTGTTCATATTTGCAAAGATGCAGAAGAAATAAACCCGGGACATCCCAGCTTTCTTTTCCTTTCTTCTTTGACTATTCTGGGAAGTTATGCAACTAGGAGCACATTTTTGGCAAACAAGTGGCTTGAGTAGCCATAAGGCCACTCTTCCCTGTCATGATCCGCACCTGGGCCTTTAAGAGATAATGGTGTTTGAAAAGGGAGGAATCTGTCTGCCCTCAGATATTTAGTTCGACTGCCTGCATTGCTTCCTATTTTGTTGTCCAACGCTGTAGTAGTTAGCACTGGCCTTACCAACATTTAAAGAAGTTTTCTTTACTGCCCTATGAGTAGTTGGAGGCAAAGAGAAATTTTTAAAGCCCTGAAAAAGGCCTGCAGGGAGATGGAATTTCTTCTGCCAGAGAAACGAGATGATAGCTGTATTTAATAAAGTTACTGACCTGTTGTCAAAATTTAAAATGCAAAAGAAGATGTTTCAAAATACAGAGAATGTCAAAAAACAAAAACTACAGGGACCAGACCAGTATAATGTTTAGTTTTCATTGTACTAACTTTTGTCTAGACTAGAGTTGATTCACTATTTTTTCTTTAACTCCTCAGGAAGCAAACCTTCCCGGTGATGAAGACTTTTTGAAGGATTTCTTCGGTGACTTGGGATCCCAGGACCATTTGGCCAGCGTGCCTAAGTGACCACATGATTGCTGTTTTACCAGGAATACAGCATCCCATTGACAAAGCTTAAGGGCTCTGAGAAGGTTTAAAATACTACAGAGAATATGGGAACACAGACCTTGAAATTTAGCTGAGGTGTAACAAGCTGAAGCTCTAAGAGGCATTTTCCTTGTTTGAGGTGAAACTAGTGTTGCTTCCAGAGGGCAGCTGGAAACCGTAAAGCTGTTTGGAAATCTTTTTGACTGACTTGGTGACAAAGAGGTACTGTGATGCATTTTAACAATATCTAAGTTGATTTTTTTTTTTAATCAAGGAAAATGAAAACCAAGCATGAATGCCATGGCATGTACTCCTTTTGACCATCCTGGGCTGACCAGCATCATTTAAATCAAAGTAATCACAAAAAGGCATATTCTGCTTCAATTCTGTGGCCAAAAGAGAGTAAACACACACACTCACACACGCTGACCCCAGTTGCCAGAGCATTACTGCACTATAAATGACAGTTAATTCCCAACTCTACTACTGTTTGTCTTATTTAACAAGTCAGAAAGCACTTTTAAAATAACTTGAGGGCTACAAGGTCATGCTATTAATGTCATTCTCCATTTGGGGTGTAGGCATGTGGAAGTACCCATTAAAAGATAAGTTAGTGTTTAAATACTGATAAACAAAACCTTTTTTTGTAACTGGACAGTTTCTGGAGAGTTGGCAGAAGAATCTTGGAGTTTCCTTTGGTCAGATGAATACAACATTTCACTTTTGCAGCACTATTTAGAATGTACTCCATAGTTCTCTTGTTCCCAACTTCCAAAAAGAACAGAAAATTTTGGTTTACATGGAACACAGGCATCTGAGGCAGGACCTCTTCACTGCCCCTTGATCTGACTCACACCTCCACATATGACATATCCAACCCAAATTTGACACCAATTCACTCTTTTCTGCAAAGGACATATTTTGAAGCAAGGGACAGCCTGAGGGTGGCTGGAATGAGAATGTTGATGGGGGTTACTGGATCCCTAATTCTGAACTTGCTCATGACACCCAGAGTAAATAGATTCAGATTCAGAACCTTCTGAGAAATAACCCAAAGAAAATTTGTTACCCAGCCAATTCTTCGAAAACTTTGTATGAAAATATATCTTTTCAAGAAGAAAATCATTAGAGAGAAGAATGTGGAGGGGAGAGAAATGAGTTTCTCATTGATATGATATTTTGTTAACCATTTCATTTTGAATTATTCAAGTCTTGGTTAATATTGTATTCTATTTTTGTAACTATTTCACCATGAGAGTAGGTTATTGGGTTACTAAATATTTATTTTCACACAGTTATTAGTCTTCAGATAGTTTTATTTTACTTCAGATGATTTTAGTTTTTATCAGTATAATTTTAAATCATGTTTTTCTTGGTCATCTCATTGTGTATATTGTATAATTGGATTTTCATTGACTGCAAGTGGAGTGTCTGCCACTCCATTAAGTACTCAGTACTATAGTGACTTGTTTTCAAATAAGTCCCAGATACACATTTAGGGAGTCTTTGCTGGCCACCAGATGTACCTGTGTGAATATAGATTCTGTCAGGACAGCAGGTCCCCTGATCTAAGAATTTTCCCCAAAGTTTGCTCTAAAAATGCTGCTATTTTGCTGTTCATTATATTGCACTTAGTTAAAAAAAAAAAAAGATAATGTTAAAGATGAGAGCAGTTTTTTAAATGATCTTTTCATATACCCAATTCCCTTATTTTCAGATGTCCCATTAATTTTATATATGAAAGCTTTAAGTAAAAGTGTGTATGCCTTTCTACTGTCAGAACAGGATGGATGCAGCCTGGGGTGGATTTATTTAAGATGAAAATGGTGCAGACTCACCATTCACATCACAGGTGAAAAATATAAAAACAAAATGGTTTCCACTAAAACCACCAAGATCTTTTAGAGATGTTTGCACCTTTGGTGGTGGTACAGGAAAAGAAAAGAATTCAGCTGGAGTGAATTCTAGAAGTAGATATCAGAAAACGGGCATGAAGAACAGGGGAACTGGGTGGCATCAGACTCCTAAAGAAGTGAGTTAATTTTCCTTCCCTTCCATTCAGATTCATGCCACGGCTCCATGTCTTCAGTATGTGTAAGAGGTGAGAAGTTCTTTCTTCAGCCAGGGGCGGTGGCTCACACCTTTAATCCCAATGCTTTGAGAGGCCAAGGTGGGAGGATCATTTGTGCCCAGGGGTTCAAGTCTGCAGTGAACCATGATTGCACCACTGCACTCCAGCCTGAGTGACAGAGCAAGACCCTGACCCTATCCCTAAAAATATATATAAAAAGTAAAACTAAAGAACTTCTTGCCTAAACCTGAATTACCCCAATTTGCTGAGTGACTTTGAGAAAAATTAGACTGTTTAGTTCAGTCTGGATGAAAAGCTTGCGATTGCTTTCCACGAGAATGAGCAATAGTGACAGCTGCAAGGTACTGTTATTTGTTCATGAAAGAATGACAATTTAAAAAAATGTAATTAAACATAATGGAATGTGTTAAACTGCTGGGCACTGAAACTGACAAAAAGGAGGCTTTATTGAACATTGCCCTTTTTCAGTTGGTTCAAAGTTCAGCACTGTGGTTATCATTGGTGATGCCAGGAAACATTAGTAGACTTTGACAATTGCTTTGGTAGTTTCTAAACAGAGTTTTTTTCTCTACACTATTTGCAACTGGAGTGCAATATTGTATATTCTGTATTAAAGAAATAAAGTATTTTTATCATTTATTAATACTAATTTATGAGTTTGAATAATGAGGCAAAAAGTTGAGATGAGAGTCTGCTCATTACAGTTCCTTGCCTTCTGTTTTCTACCATTCTTGAGTGTTCTCTCATCAGATTATCAGTAGAAATGAGGGGAAGGCATTCCAAGGCTTGTCCTGGGTGAGTTGTATGGCACCTGAAATCATCAGCTTTCCTCAAGATGAAATGCAGTCAAAGCAATTTTGAATATTCTGAACTTTGCTTTCCTTCAGTTGTGTTTAATTGTTTCACCAGTCTTTTGCTTAAAATATTTTTCTTCGTGTTTTATTAACATGGTCATTGAAAATGGGCACAAAGATACAAACAAAAGCACAGTTTGTAATCTTTCTCATCAGGAAATTAAGTGAAGGCAGACTCTTCTTGTGTCGGGTTTGCTCGCAGTGTGCACCAGGCACTCTGAGGGTGTGGAGGCTTGGGCAGCCGGTGAGTCATAGAAGCCTGATCGTCCTTCTCGCTGCCCTGGCTGAGCCCGTCTTGCTCAGTCTTGCAGTGGCCTATGCCTAACCCTAGGTAAGAATCCAAAGATAGGCTTGCTTTATTCTTATTTTTAGTTTTTATTTTTTTCGGAGTCAGAGTCTCACTGTGTCGCCCAGGCTAGAGAGCAAGGGAGCAACCTCAACTCACTGCAACCTCCGCCTCCTGGGTTCAAGTGATTCTCCTGCCTCAGCCTCTTGAGTAGCTGGGATTACAGGTGCCCACTACTATGCCCAATTAATTTTTGTATTTTTAGTAGAGACAGGGTTTTGCCATGATGGCCAGGCTGATCTCAAACTCCTGATCTCAAGTGATCCACCTGCCTCGGCCTCCCGAAGTGCAGGGATTACAGGTGTGAGCCACTGTGCCCGGCCAAGAGGGGTTTTCTTGAGAAGAAACACATCACTTCTTTATTTCTGTGAAGAATATGGACAGATACCCAGCCTGCTGTAGAAACTCTCTTATTGTACCTGTTCAGAAACGGTCCAAGCATTGGGTGGTGTGGCTTATGTTGCAGAGCTCAACAGCAGCTGCCTTTTCCTTCAGGTAAACTTGGGGCTTGCACAATGCTTGGGTGGTTACACTTTGCACTTTCATTGATGAATCAAATAGATTTATATTCTATGTAAATGTTCCAGGTTACAAATACTAAACACGAAGGAAATTGAGTGTCTCAACCAAGACCTTATAATATTGGTCTTGGAAGTAGCATGGAGCAGCTGACGGGAGGCAGCACAGAAATCCCAGAACATGTGCTGCGGTCCAGCAATGGCTACTTAATTTTCTCTGCTACAATGCCTCAAATTCTACAATTGATTGTCATCTTTTGTTGTCATTGTTGTTGTTTTGAGATGGAATTTCACTCTTGTTGCCCAGGCTGGAGTGCAATGATGCCATCTAAGCTCACTGCAACCTCCACCTCCCAGGTTCAGGTGATTCTCCTGTCTCAGCCTCCTGAGTAGCTGGGATTATAGGCATGCACCACCACGCCTGGCTAATTCTGTATTTTTAGTAGAGACGGGGTTTCTCCATGTTGGTCAGGCTGGTCTCGAACTCCCAACCTCAGGTGATCTGCCTGCCTCAGCCTCAAAGTGCTGGGATTACAAGTGAGCCACCATGCCCGGCCAATTGTCATCTTTATATTATCTCATTAAAAGTTGTGTTAAAGTTGACATGTGATCTGAAGGGGAGACTGTATTAAATCACTAATAACTATTAACTTTAGGTCAAAATAGCATATTAATTTCCTTAGAAAGTGAGAATCTGAACCCCAGGATCAGAGTGGAAAGACCTGGATCCTGGCTTCAGTACACCCTGTTGATTACTCACTGTTGAGCTTAAGGAGGACTCTTAATTACAAGTGCAAGAACAGGAAGCAACAGAATTGTGTAAACCTAAATCTACTGTCCGCCTTGTGGTATCAAAACAACTGTGCTATTTATTCAATAGTAGCTTGAATCAAGGCTGTCACTGATGACAACACACAGAATTCACTCACACGCATGTATCGAGGAGCCAAATACTGCACAAGGCACTGGGGGTTCACCAAACTCCCTGCCATTGATTGATGACTTACATTCTAGCAGGGGGTCAGATACTCAGTAAGGAAATGCTACATAGATAATACATAGATGGATGATAGATGACAAAAATCAAGGAAGGGAGGGAGGAGGGAAAGCAAAGTGAGGAAATGTCATGAGCAGTGCCATGAGCCTGATTGATGAATTCATGTGAGCCTATTAGTTCATGGTTTCTATTTGATGGCCAATCTATCTGGACCATAAATGAAACCCAAAGTCCAAATCATATAAAGAGAACCAAGCAACAGAGAAGGATAACATGCAAATTGTAAATGGCACTTTTTTCACTGAGAGGTTAACTTTAGTCCCTGGAGGTCTTTCACCCTGAAGCTTAAAGCTTTGAAATCTAAACCGAACAAAAAGCAGAACACTCCACAAACGAATCTGCAGCCTGTAGCCTTTATCCGATTACACGGCCATTGGTGAGAGGCTGCGCCCTTCCTTCGGCTTTTAGAAGGAGTCCACTGCTCAAACTTAGGGAGAGAATAAGAGGAGTCAACATTGCAAATAAATGGTGACTCTCACAGGCCAGAGCAGGCCAGCTGGGAAGTGGAGGGGTATGTTTTCCCTACGTGGGCTCTGAGAGCTGTCTCTCAGACACACCCTTGGAGGCAAACAGCAGGCTCAGGCTGGGCAGATGTTATCAGGACCCGATAACCTGTTTTCTCAACCTGCTTGGCAAGTCATTTCCACAGTTTAGAAAGGAGGAGTGTCTGCCAAGTGCCCCCCAGTCCTCTCATGCCATTTCCCTTCCAGGTGCCTGAGGTGCTAAGGAGAGACAAATGTAGGCATCTGGAGAGGTGGGCAGGCACGACTCAGCCAGGACCAGACTGTTATGGCCAACAGTGGTGTTAGAAATCATGACATTCAACCCTCATCTCCTAGGAGGAACCTAGACCCAAAACTCACACAGCTGCCCAGTGTGCCAAGGCCCAGGAGAGGACCCCTGCCTCTGTGCAGTGTCCATTTAGGGGAGCCCTGCCTTGGGTAGGGCAACATTAGCAGGGTGGCCAGCTTTCCCTATTTGCCCAACAATTTCTAGTTTTAACACCAAGTCCTGGGAAAACTCTCCTTCTCCAGCTAGCTGGGAAGGCTACACGTTCCTAGAGGAAGGCTTGACCAACAAGCGTCTGGATGGCCTGTTCTTGACTTCACTTTAGTTCCCATTTCCTGGGGAAGCTAATGACAAAACTACTGTGAGCACTTGAGCATCTTCAGTGCTTGGTCTGGCAGTTTTATTCTTGCTCTAAATTAGGGCAGCTTAGAACATTGCCTCCTTGGTGGGGAAGACCATGTGGTCAGGATTGAGGACAGTTAGAAGTTTCTCTGATATGGGCCAGGCGCGGTGGCTCATGCCTGTCATCCCAGCACTTTGGGAGGCTGAGGCGGGTGGATCACCTGAGGTCAGGAGTTTGAGACCAGCCTGGCCAATATGGTGAAACCTCATCTCTACTAAAAATACAAAAATTAGCCAGACATGGTGGTGGGCACCTGTAATCCCACCTACTCGGGAGGCTGAGGCAAGAGAATCACTTGAACCCGGGAGGCAGAGGTTGCAGTGAGCTGAGATCACACATTGTACTCCAGCCTGGGCGACAACAGCAAAACTCCGCCTCAAAAAAAAAAAAAGTTTCTCTAACATGAAGTACGTGGATGGAGCCAAGCTTCAGTTCTGCACCTGGGAGGACCTCCCTGGAAGAACCCCGAGAAGAGACTTGTCACACTCCAGAACGGCAGAGGAGAGTGGCCCATGCCAGCAGGGAGCCAGCACACCCTAGGCATGTTTAGTAACAGAAGCTGTACAAGGGCTTTCTGTTGGTTGTTCCATGTAATTCCATGACCACCTGCAAGGATCAGAGGTGTGGAGAAATCCATTACCTGCCTAGGTCAAAGAACTAGTAAGTAGAAGAGTGAGAATGTGAACCTAAATCTGCCTGGCTCCAAAGTCTGCTCTATTCTCTCTCTGTGCTGGTTTATGAGAACAATTTAATGCCAACCAGAATGCTTAAGAAGATGCCATAACTTCTCAAGGGAATAACTGATTCAACAGATCAAAACCCAAACGCATGGATTCTGATACAAAATGCCACTCCAGAATCACCTGAAGTTCCCACGTTACCGGCCACTGAATGACTCAGGTGACATGGAAGTACCTTGATGATAAGAATGCAACCCCAACATCACACACACACACACATTTTAAAGCAGCATGTAAATTTTCGTGTTGCAGGAAAGGCCATCATGGTTCAATTTATGTTGATAATTTTATATAAAATGATATGTGTTTTAAGAATAGTAATAAAGAGAAAATCTGAGGGAAAGCAAACTATTCCAGAGAGCTCAGGGCAGTGCTGGCTAGGGCCACACTGTGGCAACCTGCTGAACTGGCTGGCGGCCCATTTGCTGGGTACAAGTTCCACTACAGAGTTGTAAATTTCAAGTACAACCCCCTTTTGTGTATCATGGAATCCTAAGTCTGGATTCAAAGTCCAAGACCTTTTGGCTCACCTCAGAGACGTCTAGAAGAACTATGATTATTTCAGTTGTGGCTAACATCGATTTTAGGTAAATGGGAAATGACCACAGGTTGTAAAAAGAACAGGAAATCCTTTAAATTTACTTTGAAGTACTGGAAAGTTCAGCACAGCTTAAGTTCTTTGGGTTTCTTTCCAGCAACAGTGGAAGAAAAGGCCAAGACATGCACATTCCAAATATCTACTTGCAGATTCTTGCATGTGTTCCAAGGCTACACAAACATTATCCTTTTACAGGTGAGAAGAGAAACTGAGCCAACTGTCAACAATTTGACCGTGCAGGCAGAGGCAGGAAGGAAGCGTTACTCACCTTTTCCTGGTGGTTGTGGGTTGAGTGAGCAAGTCTAGCTTGAAGGCCACAGGAAGTTGCTGCCTCCCTGCC